AAGTGAGTTATAACTACACTTATGAATGAATTATATATACCCTAAACCGTAAACCCCAAACATGATACCCTAAACCCTAAACCCCTACGAAGTGCCCTGAACTTCCAAATATAACTCAACTTGAACCGGTTTTGGGGGATTGGGCTTGGCCCCAAGCCATACACCCCAAACCCTGCACCCCAAACCCTAAACCCTAAACCCTGCGCCCTGCACCCCAGTCCCTAAACCCTAAACCTTAAACCCTAAACCCTAAACCCTAAACCCTAACCGCAAGACCCCAAGACCCCAAGACCCCAAGACCCCAAGACCCCAAGACCCCAAGACCTCAAGACCCCAAGACCCCAAGACCCCAAGACCCCAAAACCCCAAAGCCCAACAAACCTCAAGGAGGATGTCGAGCCCGCTGTGTTGGGCCGACCTCGCCCGGGCCGCCAGTGAGGGCTGAGGGGTTTTGGGGTGACCCAGCAATGGTTTAGGGTTTCGGGTTTAGGGTGTAGGATTTTAGGTGTCGGGTTTGGGTTTTAGGGTTTAGGGTTTAGGGTTTCGGGTTTAGGGTTTAGGGTTTAGGGTTTAGGGTGTAGGGTTTAGGGTTTAGGGGTTGGTTTTAGGGGTTTTAGGGGTTTTAGGGGTATTAGGGCATTAGTTCGGATGTTCACCCCTTATACGAACAGTCCTGAAAAGGGATTATGATAGGGGGTTGCTAGAGTCCCTATTGAGGGCTGTTCATACAAGGGGGGAACATCTCAACATCAATTCTTGAACCCTGAGCCCTAAAACCCCTACCTCGGAAAGCGGTTTTTGTTGTTGTTTAGGTTTTAGGGTTTAGGGCTAGGGTTTAGGGTTTGGGGTTGAGGGTTGAGGCGGGCATAGGCAGACGCGGAAGCCGGAAATCCCCAAACCACTGCAAGGATTTAGGATAGCCCTATTCCCTAAGCGCTGCTCGTAGTACTTAACCCTACGGCTCCTGAAAGTGGAGTGGCTATCCGCTAAGCTGCTCGTTTCTTGTACTCTTCGGCGTTCAGGGTTTAGGGTTCCGGCTTCAGGGTTCAGGGTTTGGGGGTTAGGGTTCAGAGTTTTGGTGTCCAGGAGATTTAGGGGGTATTAGGGTGCAGATTTTAGGGTGTAGATCGCAAAGGAGATGTACCTGCTTCTTAGGTGCATAGTTCTAGGAGCCAAAACACGACCTTCAACCGTGAACCCTCCTTGAACCCAAAACCAGGGCTGGTTAGGGGGTTTCTAAGGCTTTGCTTAAGGTTTTCACGATGTCTTCTAGGGTTGAAGGTTTAAGTTTAAAGCTTCCTCGAGGTTCCTAAAGTTTTGTTTAAGGCTCCGGCTCCTCGCGCCACTCGCAATGCCTTCTTGGCTCAGGGCATGTTTCAAGTTTTTGCCCTGTTTCATACGTGCGCGGGCAGTTCGTGACGACTTTGTGCCATGTGTTTGGGTACAGCCGAAACCTTGGTGCGACGCGGCCTGGCCGCTTGACTGCAACAGTTTGGCCTACGCCACCCAAAGCTCCCAAACCTTCTAGCTTCCCTGAACCCCAAGGCCTCAATCCCAGAAGTTCTAAGTCGGCCTGCCACCCTAACCTTGTACCGGTTTCAGGCTTCAGGGGTTCGGGATTTGGAGGGGCGTGGGGTTTGGGGGTCTAGATAAGGGGTTTAAAGCGGGAGTTAGGGGCTTCGGGTTTTGGGGTTGAGGGCTTTTTTGGCTTGATTTGGGTTTTTGCTCGATGAGACTTTCTTCAAGTGCGCTTTCCATCAGAGCTTGCATGTCCGAACCCTTCCCCCGAACTCAAAGCAGAAGTCTCCTTGGCTTTCAGGCTGTTCGGGCTAAGGGGGAACCCTCCACCCTACCTTAAACTTGGAGGTTTTAGAGGTCGAAGCCTCCGGCCATGGCACTCAAAGCCGTGAGGGTTGAGGGTTTCAGCATCTCCAACCACCAGCTTAGGCACCCCAAACCCCAAACCCTAAACCCTAAACCCTAACCCTTCAAGAAAACGCGCTATGAACCTCCTGGAGGTTCGCAAGCCCCGGCGCCCGAATGTCGAGGAGCTTCTCGTCTCGGCGGCAGAGGCTTCCGAGGGTTGCCGGGCTTAGGGTTTAGGGTTTAGGGTTTAGGCCAAGGGTTTAGGGGTTGAGGGGGTTTAGGTTTTAGGGGGTTAGGGTTTAGGGTGTAAGGTTTCAGGGTTTCAGGGTTTAGGGTTTACAGGGTTTGGGTAGGGTTTAGGGTTTAGGGTTTACAGCGTTTAGGTAGGGTTTAGGTGCTGCAGGGTTTAGGGTTTCGGGTTCATAGGATTTAGGGCTTCTAGGGTTTTTCAGGGGATCTTCGAGGCACGGGAGCTTTTGGGTGCCGGAGTTTATTGTCCAGGAGGTTTGGGGCTTGCTTTTTGTCCTTTTGGGAGGGGAGAGGGTTTCGGGTTTAGGGTTTCGGGTTTAGGGTTTATGGGTTTAGGGGAGAGTTTTTCGGGGGGTGAAGAGGCTTCTGGGTTCAATGGGGGTTCATGGCTCCAAGCTCCGTGGAACTCTTCTCACAATTGCGGCCCCATGAACCTCCAAGCGAGCAGACCCTAAACCCTAAACCCTAAACCCTAAACCCTAAACCCTGAAAGTTTGAGTTTGGGGAACTCTTGGCAAGATGGGTTTGACGGACGGATTCCGACTGTATCCTTTTTTGCCAGGTTCATGGGCACTTAGAGCTAGCGCGCTCAGAGAAGCCAATGAAGCCTATAGCCAGTTGTATCTACAGCTACCCTTAGAACTACTCGACCCAGAACCCCAAGGATCCATGAGACGTGCAGAGACTTCAAAATTCTGTTCAGAGCATTGCCCTGTTGTTGAGGGAGATTCCTTGAGTCAAGGAAGGATGCGCAGTACAGTTGGTGTTGGTGTTGTACCCCTACAAGAAGAGCTCAGTTGCTTTTTCAGGGTTGTATCTGGCTACAGCTTTACTTGGGGTACTCCGAACCCTACTCAGCCCTACTTGAAAGTCCCCCCTGAACCTGCAAGTAAACCCTCAACTCCTCAACATGCACCATTGTAACTTGGATCCCGAAAATGCCGGCGAGGCGGCACATGAGGCTCCCAATCGTGCGGCGCCGGGCACTTGGTTTAGGGATGTAGGGGTAAGCCCTTCACCCAAGCCCTAAATACTTGGAAGCCCTCTTTGACCTAGTAAGTAGGGTTAGTAAGCTGGGTTGTGGGGATTCTAGTAGGGTTTGTAGGGGATGCTAAGCTGACTTACGAAGTCAGAAAGACGTTCAAAGTAACCTCACACCCTTAAGCCCTAAACTGCAAATCCTCGAATCCTGAGCTGAGGCCGAACCACATTTTTGGTGGGTCCCCTGCAGAAGGGTTTCGGGTTCAGGGACTCGGGATTAGGGTGTGATGTTTAGGAAGGGCAGAACTCAAGCCCAAGTTCTAAATCTCCGCAGCGGGGGGAAGAAGGGTTTAGGGTTTAGGGCCCCTAAGCCCCCAGCCCTCAGCCCCTACTCCCTGAACCCTAAGCCCCTCATCCCGAAACCCAGCAACCCCAAGCCCCTGGGCTGTATGATTGCAAGGGCTTGCTGACTTAAACCTTCCGAGCGCCGTCGTCGAAGGGTTTAGGGTTTCGGGCTTAGGGTCCTTGATCCCTGCAACCCTACAGCAAAGGTCGAGGCTTGTGGGACCTAGGTAGTTCAACAATAACAGGCACAACAGAAAAGGGGACCTTTGTTGGGGGTGCTGACATTTGGGGGGGGGGGTTGCGTTGGCGTACTGGGGCTTTGCAGCTTCAGTTCACGATTCCACAGCTGAGACTTTGAGGGTTTAGAGAGTTTAGAGTTAAGGTTTTTAGGGGTTAGAGGTCTTTAGGCTTTGGATTGAGGAAGCGACGAATTCGCCAAAGACTGCACAAAAAGCTCGGCGCCACTTTGACGATCGAGGCCTGCTGGTGGGGGGGGGGGGGGGGGCCTTGCAATTTTTCAAGGCAGCTCCTAACCTTGGGTTTAGGGCTCTGGCCTGAGGGCCGACATCGCGGAGAAGCCAATGCACGCAGATTCGTTGGTGGTTACTTGGAGTTTCGGGATATAACCTTATCTATAGTCTTAAGAAAATACCCATGAACCTTCACGCATACAATTCAATAAATAGGGTAGCAAGAGCCCGGGTACGGTTCTAACCAGGTACAACTGCCCCTACTTGTAACCCCGGCTGTAACTACCCATGAACCTCCGCCTAAAAAACCGAGACCCTCCTTTCTAGCCATAGCTCGAAGCTAAACCCGAACTAACCCTGACTCCCAAAGCCCTGTTTGGGGTTCTGAAAGTTAGCATGATGAAGGTTGTTAGGCTCGGGAGCCAACCCTAAAGCCGGTTAGGGTTTAGTTTTTTTTTTTTTTTTCTGAGCTTTCGCTCCCGCCGCAGGAGTTTGAGCAAGCCATGCAGCGGTTTCAAGCGTTGGTCGACGACGCCCAGGAGAGGTTCATGTCAGGATTTAGGGCTGCAGGGTTTAGGGTTTAGGGTTTAGGGTTTAGGGTTTAGGGTTTAGGGTTTAGGGTTTCCCAGGGTAGCGGACATCTGCACTTGAAGCCAATGTGGCAACGCCGACTTCTTCTCTTCGTGTAGCTACATATGGTTACCGACTGAGTTGTCTGGTACGAAGGCGAGTTTGCAGTTGACTCTTGCCCTTGTGTGTGTCTAGCTTAGGGTAGGGGCCGAAATGCTCATGGAACAGTTTGGAGTTTATATCGTTACTGGCAAACAGTTGCTGGGCTATCTGGAATCTGATGGCAGTCGGTTGCACCCCTGATGATCCGAAGCCTTCGCTCCTCAGAAGCCCAAGAGCGCCACAACATCTGCACCGCTCATAGAAGACGGGCGTCAAGAAGCAGCTTGAGAAGGTTTTAGGTTTTAGGTTTTAGGTTTTAGGGTTTAGGGTTTAGGGTCCCTATCCCTAAACCCTAAACCCCCCAAACATGAGCCCCCAAATTGACAAAACGCAGCGGTCGACCCATCGACCTTCGCCATGGAGCCCGCCGCAGATGCCTCGCCACAGGCGGAGCGCGAGGCAGCGAGGCGGGCCGCTGGCTCACCACCGGCCCCCAACTCTAGGGTTTAGGGTTTAGGGTTTAGGGTTGAGGGTTTAGGGTTTAGGGTTCAAACCTTGCAGGAGATGAACCCCTCTCCGAACCTGTCTGCCCTAGACTCGATCGTTCACCGAAACCCAGAGCCCCGAAGCCCGGAACCCGAAACCCGAAACCCTAAACCCTAAACCCTAAACCCTAAACCCTAAACCCTAAACTGAACCCGGAACCCGAAGCCCAGGTGTGTCCAGGATGCCAAGGTCCCTTGGAGTTGAGCTGTGGAGCCCTTGGCATGGGGTTCAGGTTTCAGGCTCCCAAAGCCTTTAGGGTTCCCTAAACCCCTAAACCCCTAATCCCTAATCCCTAATCCCTAAACCCTAAACCCTAAACCCTAAACCCTAAACCCGTAGGTTTAGGGTTCCCTAAACCCCTAAACCCTTAAAACCCTTAGAGCCTGGAGCCCCAAACCCTTACCGCCCTAAACTCTGCAAACCGTAAACCCCCAAAACTTTTAAGCCCGATGCATCCGCCGCAAGTGTTCGGTATGCGGGTTGGACTTTGGAGGATTTGGGGTCTCGGGTTTCGGGTTTGGGGTTTAGGGTCTAGGGTTTGGGGTAGGGTTTTAGGGTTTTAGGGCTTTAGGGTTTTAGGGTTTTAGGGTTTCAGGCAGACAGAGCAGTTGGGTTGGACTTGTGAGACTTGCTGGGGCATCTCTGCCACAGAACCTGGTGGTTGTTCACTTGTATAGCTACCCGCGAGCCTTCAAGCGGGTTTCTCTTCTGCCAAAATATTACACCCTAGACGGGACGCCCAATTGCCAGAAGCTCCCAAACGGTTCAATCTTAAACGCACTTGCAACGAACCCTAAATACACTTGTACTACTTCTCCAAGTATTCCAGCAAATCAATGTAATGCAGGGGTCGGAAGAATTACTAATAATATTGCCTTATGGTCCCTCTATAAGTATACTATAATGACCCCGGAAACCGTATTCTAATGATTCAGGCTCCTTTCTGAGGCCAGCCCGCCAGCCCCTGATCTTTTGAGTGTGACCCCACCCTAGATTCTAAACCTTAAGCCCTAAACCAAGACCCTAAACCTTAGACTCCTGAATTCCCCTGACTTCCTACTTTCAAACCCAGCTCAAGCCGAACTAGGCTTCAGGGTTTAGTGTTTAGGGCTTGGGTAAGCCCTATGAAATCCACCCTTCCTTCCACCCGTACATCTCCCAGGCCCACGCCCAGGACATCGCTTTCTGCATGATGCAGATGGAGGTGCGATCACAAGGGCTCAGGGTTTTCATAAGGTTCAAAAAAGGATCGGAACAATTACAACTAGTCTTCCCTTATGCTCCCTTTATAAATATACCATAATCACCCCCAAAACCCAAGGCCCCTTTGTTAGGTGGGTTGGGGTTTGGGTGTCATGGGGCTGTGGGTCGCCAAACCCTAACACCCCCTGAAAGCGCAACTCGGAGTCCCCCGAAAGCAGGCCCTAAACCCTAAACCCTAAACCCTAAACCCTAAACCCTAAACCCTAAACCCTAAACCCTAAACCCTAAACCCTAAACCCTAAACCCTAAACCCTAAACCCTAGGTCACGCAGCCGCAGATTCTGCGTGCCGTCCCGGCCTTCCGCGTGCTGCAGTATTTCGGCCGGGTGTTGCGCCATGGTGGCTGGGTACGTGCTTGGGACACTTTATCTAGTTTCCCTCGGTGGGGTTTTAAGAGGATCATTCTCAGGAATAGAGTTTTTTCAGTGGGGTAAGGGTCCGTCCTAGGTGGAGATTTCTATCACCTGAGCCGGCCCGCCAGCACCATTGATGAGTTTTGCTCGCACAGTTGGCACGGCTCGGCCTGGATGAAGATCTCGCTCCTGTTGCTGCACCTGGGGCCTAACAATGCCTACGGTGTGTGCAAAAACCCTGTATGATTCACTCTTTAAGGGACTTTTGTGCGCTCTATCGCAAGCTCCGTTTGTTGATTTCGGGCCTTCCCCTCCAAAGAGTTTACCTCCCGAACCAAAGCCCCAGGCCCTACACCCTATTCCTTAAACCCAAAGCGTGGCAAGTCTTTATACTGCATCTGGGCATTCCCAGGATGAAAAATGGGGTGGCCGCCTTTGTGGCTGGGACCCTGTGCGCGCTGGTCATGATGTGCCTCTTCTGCCTCGACATGCTGCCGGGGTACTTCCGGCAGCCTTTTCTAGGAACAGGGGTGGCCTACAAGTACGGGCCGTGGTCGCTGCTGACCGGAGTGCTGGTATCTTGCCTGTTCCTGCTCTTGTGGCGGCCCAAGCAATCGATGTTTCTGGATCGTATCTGCATCAACCAGGCCTTGGGTTCTCCAAAGATCTGAGCCCAACCCTGAACCCTGAACCCTGAACCCTACTTTGAGGTTCATGGCACTTAGTCACCCAATTATACCTGTAGCCCTTGGGTTTTTTTGGGGTATACAAGGGGCATTTGAGGGGTGCTCCAATTCAGGGCCCATTTTCAGTGACCATGCAACTGCCCTAGCCCCCCAAAGCCCTCAATCCCCGAAATCCTCGAACCTTGGAACCTTCAACCCCCAAACCCCAAACCCTAAACCCTAAACCCGATACCCGATACCCGATATCCCAACCCTCGAACCCCAAAGCCGAGACAGGTCGATCAGATACTGAAAGCCGAGGGTGTTCTCAACATAGGCGCTATCCTGAAGCACTCCAACTCCATGCTTCTGGGCTCTTGCCATGGTTTCGGGTTTCCCTCGGACCGCAGGTTCGCGGTCCAGGGATTAGGGGTTTAGGGGGTTCAGGGGGTTCAGGGGGTTTAGGGTGCTATAAGGATCCTGTATGATTTGTCATGCAACTTGTTTTTGGTGAGTTCGCTTATGCTCCATGACAAGAGCCTAGGCTTGTCCTGTGGGACACGACATTTGCTTCCCGACTCTTGGCTTGGGTTTGGAACATCATTTCTTCTGCCCCCTGATCCCGGTAGAGCTCGAAATATCTCAAGGAGTCTACAGGCTACGCAGACTTCTCTAAGTTAGGCCCTAAACCCTAAAAACCTTCTTGTTTGTAGTTCTACATGAAGGGCCCTTCGGTAAGATGCAGAGGTCTCTGGTGCCTCTTCGAAATCGCGGCCTTCCTAAAAAGCCACGAGGATGGCCTGGAGCACCTCCTGATCAAGCCCACCTACCTTGCGCCCAGCACCCTGGTCATCAGCCTCTGCGTGACCCTCATGATGCTCTTCGAGCTCTTGGTTCCCTTTGTGAGCGTCTACGTGGTGGTCCTGAAGCTCTCCCTGCTGGCCCTGAGCTGCGTTACCGCGGCCCGGCTGCTGTTCCTCTACTACGGCTCCGTCCGGGCGCTGAAGGAGCAGCTGAGGGAGTTCCGGATGCAGGACGCGAAGTGCGTGTGTTGTGACCTGGGCCACCTGGATGCCTGCCTGGGCTCCGCGGTCATCTGCGACCGGGAGATCGTGAGCGAGTGCATCTGCACATGGTTTGGGTCCGTGGACGGCTTCGAGAGTGGCCTGGCGCTCATAAGCCCGAATTGCCTGTTAGAGCCTGGGATGTGAGTTCTCCGCCATCTTACCTGCGCTCGCAAAGGAACGATGATCATAGCCAAACCTAAAGATCCCTAGACAGGCTCTGGAAGGTTCCGGAATGAGGGAATGCGGGCGCTGCTTGGAGGTTGGTAGTTATGGCGTGGGCTAACTGTAGTAACTGTAGTAATAAGTGGCGATAGAACCCCAAGGGCTTGGCTTAGTTCTCCACTTTGAACTGCCCTGGCAAGAGTCACTTTTCGTTCCCTAGACCCTGGATCTAAACGCCCGTTTAGGGTTAGTAAGATTTTAGTAAGGTGGGCTATGGTTCTCGTGGGGCTTCTAGGGAGACCAGCAGAACCCGACACTCTAGACCCACCCAAACCCCCAAAAACTCACCAAGGTGCGGTGAGGTCCAGAGTGTCGAAAGCTCTCGCGGGGCAGCTGGGTCAGTTCCCGTGCCCGCGCCTTGCCTCCGGCGGGTTGAGGGCTTAGAGCTTAGGGTTTAGGGCTTGGGGTTTGGGGTTTAATTGAGGGTTTAGGGTTGATGGGTTCACTCGGGTGTCCAAATTTCACTTGAAGCCCAGAAGCCTTCCCTTGGGCCCTGAGCCTTAAAGCTTCAAACCCAGAAGCCCTAAAGCCCTTCAAGCCCTTAAGCCCTTAAACCTTAAGCCCTTAAGCCCTTCAACCCTAACAACCGTAAGCCCTTAGGCGGCTAAACCACCCCAGACTCCGAAGCCCGGCAGACTCGTGGCTCTGTCTTGCAGGTCTGGCGTTCTTGGAATCTCTAGACGCAAAAACGAAACCCAACAGACCTAAACCCTGAAAGCCGTGGAACCCTAAGCCATAAAGCCCTAAACCCAAAACCACACCCATGCAAAGCCTTAGCTAGGAAGACCCAAAGTTTCAAAAAGGAAAACCCCTAAGTGGACCCCCAAGACCGTGTGGGTGAAACATGGCCTAACTTAGGATCCCATCTAAACCGTAAACCCTAAACCTCTAAACCCCTTAATAGAATCCTCAAACCCCAAACCCATTGAGCCCTTCAAGTAAGGTACTCCTGGCTTCTGCGGGCCACAGCCCCTGTCCTATGGGCGCACATGGACATGGTGGCGGCGCGCCACTTGCTCTTAGCGAGTTGGGGGTCCGGGATGCTCTACTACTACCCTTAAAGGCAGGTAAAGGGTCCAGGGTTCAGGGTTTAGGGTTCAGGGTTCAGGGTTTAGGGTTTAGGGTTTAGGGTTTAGGGCTTAGGAGCCCTTACTCCAACACCTGAGCCTCAAGATGCATTGTTTAGAGTTTGCAGGGGACTCCAACCCGCCCGCTTCACGTAACGATATGGCAGTTGCTATTGCAAGGGCTTTGCGAAATAAGGGGCCCCTGATATAGACCCCCAAGTAGTAGGGCTCCGTTATGATAAGGACCGCAATAAGGTACGCCCTAATTTCGGAAACCCCCATTGCTGACTTTGCATCTGCGCATGAAGGCCTCTTGGATTTCGGGGCTTCCGAGTCCTCCAAAACCTTCACCCCGGGAAAGCCTTGATCTCAGGTATCCACGCAGGCGATGCTGAATATGCCGTTGCCGTGGCGATCCAAGCGCTGGCATGGTGCCAGAGTCGTGCAATATAAGTGCGAGGTTTCCGGGCCTTTTCGGCACTTGTAAGGTGCCAGTAACAGCCTGCCAGCAACCTACACGCAGAACAGAAGCTCAACCCGAACCCTATACCCTAGTACCCTCAAGCCAAAACTCTACATGCCAATAAGCCCTTGACCCCCCTAAAGTCCTTGAAACCCCCGCTCTCGCGCCACGTCCCGCTCGGTCTCCTGGCCTGGTCCCTGGAGTACCCCCCACAAGAGAAAGCGCATGGACCCAGAGAGTCCCGCGGAATATTTCGGGGGGCGCTTTCTTCGCAGAGGCCGAGCATCCCTGGTGTGCTCGCCCCCAAAAAACCCTGCAGAGAACCCCGAGTTCTGCAAATCTGCCTGGAATATGAGAAATTCCACGGAGAGTCCCATGACAGAAGCCGGCGGCGAAGTGTCTGTAACTACCTGTCCGAAAACGGCAGGATGGCTCCCACGTCAGTGAGCTGCAGGGCGGGGATGATCGAAGCAAATGCATTCTGAGGTTCCCAAACAGGGTTTAGGGTTTAGGGTTTAGGGTTTAGGGTTTGGTTTCTACAGGAGGTCCTTAGTTTAGAAGAAGCTCTCCTAAATGGACGGGCGAGCTGCGAGGTGGCTGGCGCTCTTCCCAAGTTCCCTCTTCTTGGTGGCCGTCTCCTACAAATGCTACGAGCGGCCCCGGCGAGGAGGGGAAAGGGCTTACGGTTGGCTTGCCAAACCCGAGTTTAATGGGACCCTAAATCCTAAGCCCTCAATGCTCAGCCCTCAGCCCTCAGCCCTCAACCCTAAACCCTTTACCCTACACCCTGAACCCCAAGCCCTTAACCCTAAACCCTAAACCCTAAACCCTAAACCCTAAACCCTAAACCCTAAACCCTAAACCCTAAACCCTAAACACCCTGCAACCTGAAAGCCTGAAGCCGACAATGCAGGCCCGGCCGACCTCCTCGCTTTCATTCTAAGCCTTCTTGCGCCGGCGGGGCGGGAACGACGGGAAGGGGTTTGGGGTTTTAGGGTTTAGGGTTTAGGGTTTAGGGTTTTAGGGTTCTTGGGTTAGAGTTCATGATCCAGGAGTCAGGGCTCTAGAGTTTAGGGTTGGGGTTCCGCAGAAACGTAAGGTTCAAAGGTCCAGGGTCTAGAATGAGGGGTTACAGATGTGCAGGGTCCTGACATGGCGGTTTCCCCAAATAGGGTACCCCGAATATACCCCCTAGTCCATACTATAGGAGCCCTCGCAAGGGCTGTTAGTATTAGGGGGGGCATCATCCCAAAGTTTAGGGGTTTCAGATTTAGGGTTTAGGGTTTAGGGTTTAGGGTTTAGGCTCTTTTTGCGGGGGGAGGCGGTGCCGTGGGGAAGCTTTGCAGCCCTGAAGAGGTGCTGTCCTTGGCTGGTGGAGTAGGCTACATGCACCCTTGGCTTGACTTTCGGGGCTTTTGGGGCTTTGAGGGTAGGGTTTAGGGTTTAGGGTTTAGGGTTTAGGGTCTAGGGTTTAGGGTTTAGGGTTTAAGGGTTTAGGGTTTACGGCTTCGGGTTGAGGGTTTGGGGTTTGGAGATTGCGGCGGGGGGGGGGGGGGGGTCCGACTGGCCACCCCCTAACGGTCAGGATCCCTGGCTGCCCTGCCCAAAGAGCCCGAAACACTAAAACCTGTGGAGACCGACCTTCGCACCAAGAAACTTCTTCAGCGAAGCCGTGGGCTTGTTTTGAGCGCCTAGGGCGCGCGGGCCGTAGGGTTAGACGTAGGGTAACGATGGTTCTAGCCTTATTCAGGACACTCCGAACCCTGCCACAAGTACCTTTTTGAATTCCAAGTAACTCTATCTTTAAATCCCCCAACTGCACGATTGTGCCACTGTCGGGTTCTTTGGTCGAAGATCGGGAAAACCCTAAACCCTAAACCCTAAACCAGTTTGCCTTGAGCGGTTTTGCTGATGCAGGCCCTGCCGTGACTGCCAATGGCAATGAAGCCCTGCACCCCCGAGCTCCAAAACCTAAATACCTCACCTCCCTGACCCCCCTACGGCTGTTAGGCTATATATCCCTCAAGACACCATAAACTGCGTAAAAGTTCCGAAACCCTTAACCCTAAACCCTAAAAACCCTAGATCAGCCCTCGCTCTGAGGTATGCTTGCCTTCGCTTCATCGAGAACGCCATAGTCGGCGCCACGCTCTTTGCAGCGACGATGCCCCCTTGGCCCCCATTATCTACTACTTGCTTTCAAAACCCACAAGAAATACATAGAAAGCACAGGAAATATTCTTCCTTATAAGGGCAATATAGGACTATTATCTACTACTTGCTTTCACAAGAAATACAGAGAAAGCACAGGAAATATTCTTCCTTATAAGGGCAATATAGGGACTATTATCTACTACTTGCTTTGAAACCCACAAGAAATACATAAAAAATCACTCTTCCTTATAAGGGGACCATTATCTACTGCTTGCTTTAGAAACCCACAAGAAACATGCAAAAACACAGAAAAAGATTCTTCCTTAGAAGGGCAATACGGGGACTGTTGTCTTGTATTCTTTTTGGGGGTTCTTCAGCAAAGAGTAGTCGTGGCATGGATTGGGGCCGAGGATTCAGGACGACGCCTTGATCATGGGTGCTTCTTCATTCTTTCTTGGACAAAAGCAAACAATGCTAATTTTCGATGCAGACTCATACAATGTTGGGAAGCAGCAAGAAGAATGTTTGTGTCAACTATCGCAGTGTTTGTGTGAGAATAGGAATAGGCGTCAAAGCCAATGCTCCCCCCCGCACAGGGGGGTACCCCCGACTTTACCGAACCCCCAAAAGTCCCCGAATGGGGTAGACACCCCTCTTTTGGGATCATCCCCCTCAAGAACTGCCCATGAAATCCCCCTAAGGCCCTAAGACCCTAAAACCCTGAGCCGCAAAACCCTAGAACCCTAAACCCGAAACCCTAAACCCTAAACCCTAAACCCTAAACAACCCTAAACCTGTAGACCCTAACCCAGACGGGTGCGAAGGCTGATTCCCACAGTTCTGGCCTGGCGGACTTGGTCCAAGGGGCTCTCCGAAGCGCTCTGAAAGCCATGTCCTTTAGGGTTGAGGGTTTAGGGTTTAGGGTTTAGGGTTTAGGGTCTAGGGTTTAGGGTCTAGGGTTTAGGGTTTAGGGTTTAGGCTTCGAATTGTTTAAAGCCCAAAGCCTAAGACCTTAAACTTCAAGAGCCCAAGGCCTAAAGTTTGAGGGGTTCCAGGGTGGTTTTGTGAGGTGGGGAGAGACATTTCTAGCTCCAGGCCCTTCGGCCCTTTGGGTTCATGTCGGGTGCATCGCCATGTCTTGGGCGTTTCGCACACAGAGAAGTGCACCTTCAGGCAAGTGCAACCCTGCGCTCGGAACCTCGAAGCCCATGTTTCACACGCTTTGCGTCTCGGGAGTTGGAATGCGACAGCGCCCGCACAAATCAGCATGCAGTGCCCTTTGGGCGACTTGGAGGTTCATGGCTACTTCTATGTCGGGTGATAAGAAGGGCAAGTATGGTTACAACCTTAGATTAGGGCTTTTGGTACCCTACTTCTGAGTAACCATGAACCTTCAAGCGAGGACAGCGAGGTCATGCACCAGTGCCTCTGAATCCCTCTGATAAGCCTGGATACTGGCCTAGGTCAAGCCCCGAAATGGAGAGTCGTGCGGCTATTGAAATCTAGAGCCGCGGATCAAGGGTGTAGGGCTTGCAGTGCCACTGCGACCCGCAACCACAACCCCTAAACCTTAAACCTGAAGCCCTAGACCCTAAACCCTAAACCCTAAACCCTAAACCCTTACAGCTTTTGGGGTTTGGGGTTTAGGGGTTTTTTGTGGGGGTTTGGGCGGTTCAGCCGGGATGTCGGGCTGGAAGGGCACGTAAGGGTGCGGCTTTGGGCAGTCTATATTCTGGGCAAGCCTTGCAACTCCTAGTGTACGCGTACCTTTTTTGCTGTAGAGAAATAGGAATATTTGTGTATGGCCAGGTCTTGATGAAGTTCAAATTGTGTATGGAAACATGCATGTATATATATATATATATCTATACATATATATATATATATATTTATAGGGTTCGATTTCTATAAATCTAGATATGAATAAAATAACTAAATATACATAAATACTTAAATATAAATATAAGTATAAATATAAATACAAATACAAGTATAAATATAAATATAAATATAAGTATATAGTCAAAAAACAACAGGGTTCAAGCAACTTAGTTGCCACCCTAAATCCTACACCTTGAGGCCCCCTAAACCCCCGTAGTAGGCACGCATCCGGGCTTCCTAACAAAGGGGTTTAACCCCAAACCCTAAACAGTAAACCCTAAACCCTAAACCCTAAACCCTAAACCCTAAACCCTAAACCCTAAACCCTAAACCCTAAACCCTAAACCCTAAACCCTAAACCCTAGACCCTAGACCCTAAACCCTAAACCCTAAACCCTAAATCCAAGCCCTAAGCCCTAACCCTAAACCATAGGGGGCTCACTGGACCTGCACGCGGAGGAGCCGCCAACGCCACCACAACTGACACGAGCGGTCGGGGCACCCGGCTGTATCCTAAGAAGAGCCCAAGCCCAAAAAGCCCGATAGGCCCCTGTTAAAACCCCTAAATCCCTATAAACCCTGTGACCCTAAGCCCTAAACCCGACACCCTATAGCCTCCAGCATCCCAGAAACCCTCAACCCCAAAGCTTAAACCCTAAACTCTACAGCTCTAAGCCCTAAGCCCCAAGCCCTAAACCTTAAACTCTAAGCCCTCAACCCTAAACCCCAACCCCTAAACCCTAAACCCTAAACCCCAAACCCTCAAAAACTAAGCCACATCTCCGAGTTCAGGTTTGAGGGTTTGCCGGCTTCGGACGGGCGGGGGGGAGGGGGGGTTGGAGGGGAGGGGGAGCTTGGGGTGAGCTTCTCGAGAGTTCTGGTTTCCGTTTTGACTTGAGATGCTTGAAACACCATCAATGGTTTGCGTTAGCAGAGCTACCGCGTCTTTTCGGGCTTCGCCTGTACAGGGTCCAGGCTTTTTGGGTTCAGGGTTGAGGCTTTAGGGATAAGGGCTTGGGGTTTAGGGTGTTGACGGCCTTGAGCACCAAACAGGTCGATGGTCTTGCACCACCCTCAAACCCCCAAACGTAAACCCTAAACCCGCAAGCCCCAAAAGACTAGACCCTAAGCCCAAACCCGACACTGTAGAGGTCCCGACGATGCCAGTTCTTCTGGTACCTGTTGCGACGCCCATGCAGGTGCCGCACATGCCTTGCTTTTTCCTAGCTACAAGCGCGAATGTCGACGCGCTTAAAGATTTGTACCGGGTTTCGCATTCTGCGTGCAAAGTTTTGAAAACGTTTTGACTTTTCCCTGCTGCTTCATGTCTGCATCTGTGGTGTTTCAGTGAAAGGTATCCCCCTGTCAACCCTAAGGCCTACAGAGCCCTCCAGAAGCCAATTGGCTTTACATATCTCCGCACAACAGCCCTACGGAACCTCAATAGAACCCCATCCATGTAGCGCCACACGCCCGGTGTACCGATCCGGGGTCCTTGTACCAGGGTTTAGGGTTTCGGGTTTCGGGTTTAGGGTTTAGGGTGTAGGGTTTAGGGTTTAGGGTGTAGGGTTTAGGGTTTAGGGTTTAGGCTTTAGGGTGTAGGGTTTAGGGTTTAGGGTTTAGGGTTTAGGAGATCAACCCTGGGTCCCGGAGTAGGATTGACAGTGCGCTTTTGGGAGTTTGGGGCTCCGGTATGGAGAGCCAACCCCACGATGACCGCCCATGACCAAGGGCCCTTGTAAACTATCTGAAGAAACCTAAAACCTAAACCCTAAACCCTAAAGCTTAAAGCTTAAACCCTATACCCTAAAGCCTATAAACCCTAAACGCAACACCCTAAACCCTGAACCCGAAACGCGAAACCCTAAACCCTAAACTGGCTTTGGGCTCTCATGTCCTTCTACCTTGCATCCTCCGAAGTGGCGTGGATCACCGCGCCCCAACCTCCCCAAAGTCAAGCCCCAAACTCAAAGCCCGAAGCCCGAAAAGCCCTAAAAGCCCCAAGGGTTTAGGGTTTAGGGTTTAGGGTCCAAAATAAGCGCCCTTTAGAAGCCCTCAAAGCCTTAGAAGCCCCAGAAGCCCTAGAAGCCCTAAAGGCCCCAAAATAAAAGCTCTGAACGTCCTGAAAAGCCCTAGAAGCCCTAAGTAAAAGCCCTTGAAGCCCTAAAATAGACGCCCGAAAATACAAGCCCGAAATAAAAGCCCTAAAATGGAAGCCCTAAAAATACCCTAGAAGCCCCAAAAGCCCGAAAAGCCCGAAAAGCCCCAAAAGCTCCAAAAGCCTCAAAAGCCCCAAAAGCGCCAAAAGCCTAAACCCTAAACCCTAAACCCTAAACCCCAAACCCCAAACCCCAAACCCCAAACCCTAAACCCTATACCCTGAAAAGCCCTAGAAGCCTAAAGTTGAGTCGTGAAGGTTTTGAGTCCACCGCAGCCGGTACCACACCGCAAGGTGGCCTTTTGCCGTGCTGTGTCTTTGGGTTTAGGGTTTAGGGCTAGGGTTTAGGGTTTAGAGTTTAGGGTTTAGAGTTTAGGGCTTAGGGCTTAGGGTTGGGCGAGTTTGGGCTTACTTGGAGGTTCATGCGTCATTACACGTGCGCAATACACTGGGGAACTGGGGGCTAGAAGTTATATCTGGTGTGAACCTTATTTGAGATAGCCTTACATACAATTACCCATGAAACTCCAAGGAGGGTTTATAGGGAAGTGTGGAAGGCCTTTGAACCTGCCAGGCTGTGAACATTTCGGTGTGAAAGAGGTTGAGATTGCTGGGGATGTATCTCTATAAACCCTGACCTCTGGCCCCTGAACCCTAAGCCCTTGTGTAGCAAGGGTTTAAATGCTGGTTCTTAGTAGGGAATGAGGGATTTAGGTACCTGACATCCCCCTCAGCAGTAAGAACTTCAAGGGTTTCAACGTTTAGGCCTGAGGTCTGAACGCTACAGTGCAAGGCTTTCCCCTTGATCCCATTCCCCCTCCTCCAAGGCTTCGCTAAGCAGAGGGTTTAGGGTTTGGGGGTTTAGGGTCTGTAGGGACATGGTATGTCTTCACACCACTTTCGCCAACACCGGTCTTCCCGGAAACTGTCCTTCCGGAGCCTTGCCACTTCCCCCAACAATGGGCGCAGGGAAGCCTCAAAACGTCCAGCAGGAAGATTTTAGCCACACAGCTCATCCCCCAATCTGAAAACCTGTCCAAGCAGCCACAAAACTGCAGCAAGTACCAGCCCCACAATGCCACACAACCCCCAACAATTGTCCCAAGCCAATCGAGGCCTCCAACACGTCTAAACCCCTAAGCCCTAAACCCCAAACCCCAAACCCCAAACCCCAAACCCCAAACCCCAAACCCTAAACCCTAAACCCTAAACCCTAAACCCTAAACCCTAACCCAACGCTTCAACTCACAGGATCCGACTGTAAGCCGCGACTTCGCGCCACAGTTCTCTTTGACGACCGCCACCCGGCCGACCAGTTTGGGTTTAGGGTTTAGGGTTTAGGGTTTCGGGTTTAGGGTTTAAGGGTTTAGGGTTTAGGGTTTAGGGTTTAGGGCTTAGGCTTAGGGTTGAGGGAATAATATTCCTCCGTTATGGTCCCTCTGTAACTATACTGTACTAAGCCCGCTCCTCAATTCCTCGACTGGTCGTTCCCTACTTCTGAGGGTGGCGCGAGGACAAACCAACACAAGGGAAACACACTAAACCCTAAACCCTAAACCCTAAAACCTAATAAGATGTAGACATGCTCAAAATAAGCATCCCCTGGCACAGGCAGGCCCGTGCCCCCCCCTCGCGAAACTCTTCGAGAAAGCACCTGATCCTACTTACGAGGGCGGAGCCGAGCGAGGACAAAGCACAGGGGGAGAGCAATACGTGCAGGCATGTACATGTTCACAGGCAGCCCATGGCACAAGGAGACGTGCGTGCGCTTCGCCGAATACGAAAAAGCTCCTCGAGGAAGGACTGGCCCACGGAGGTCGTGCACTGTGAAGGCTGGCCGGACTCA